TTTCTCTACACCTACTGCATGCCTTAGCAGCAATTCAATGTCTCAACTCTTATAACCTTACAATCCACACAACAGTTATTCATGTTGGCCTGGTACGCAATTTACACAATAGTTATTCTCGTTTACGACTGAGATCAAACTGTCATTATGCAATTATTTCATTGCAAAGTAATGAATTTATCAGACCAGTAATCAATATATCAAATTGTGTATGCACAAAGATATTTAAAGATCTGTATATATGTTGTCATGACAACCAAATATTTATTTGATCTGACAGTATACATGTATTACAACAAATTAGTTATTTTCAATTAAATGTTCTTTTATTTAATTTTTTCCTGTTTGGTGCATGTTTTTTTTTTTTAGAAAACATTACTATGCCACACAGTGGAGTACAAACCCTGTCATTGTACAGTACATGTAAATTGAGTGCTCAAGGTAACAAACATGAACACTTGACAGCTTTTTTATTGCCTTTATGTATTCAGTGTACAAATACACAGTAGAGTTCATTGTGTAAATCATAAAATTAAATTAGAATTGTAAACAGCATCACAGGGCTCAAGATTCACAATGCTGGTTTGTTCAATTAATTTTTAGTTAATCAAAGATTAATGTTTATTTTCTATGTGATTCAATGCATTTATGTGCACTCTAAACATATGATATACTAAATGCATTTATGTGCACTTTAAACATATGATATACTAAATGCATTTATGTGCACTCTAAACATATGATATACTAAATGCATTTATGTGCACTCTAAACATATGATATACTAAATGCATTTATGTGCACTCTAAACATATGATATACTAAATGCATTTATGTGCACTCTAAACATATGATATACTAAATGCATTTATGTGCACTCTAAACATATGATATACTAAATGCATTTATGTGCACTCTAAACATATGATATACTAAATGTGCTATATGTCTAAACTGAAGCTATTTCAGCTTGTATTCAATCCATTATTCTATTAAGTTTCTTGATATTTTGAAACAAGTGTTTCTGACAAAGAAAATGTTTTGTTAGCAACAAAAGTCACATGACTAAATTTGTATCAATGATATGTCAGTAATTGCCTTGTTTTTTAAATCTGAACCATGTAACCAAACCATGTAACCATGTAACCAAACCATTTAACCATGTAACCAAACCATGTAACCAAACCATGTAACCATGTAACCAAACCATGTAACCATGTAACCAAACCATGTAACCAAACCATGTAACCATGTAACCAAACCATGTAACCAAACCATGCCGGCAAGTTCCATAGCACATTGAAATTCAAATCAAGCAGATTGATGGTGCTTGAGAAAAAAAAATTGATCAATTAAATTGCTGTCATATAGTTTTTAATTATGCAGACCTTACTTTCTAAGGTGAGTGATTATTCCACTCATCCAAATCAAAACCCAGAAGAGCTAACTACTATCACCCTTCCAATCCATACCATTTTGATGGTATTTCAATAGCATTCATCCCAAAATCTATCACATTGCTGGAAATATAAGAGTACAAAAAAAATGTATACCATATTTTTCAAGATTTACTTTCTGTTGCATGAATGATGTGCAAGTAATTTAGCATAACTAGTTGTGTCACAACAAATCTACTTACAAGGTGCACTGCTTAACTAGTTATGTCACAACAAATCTACTTGCAAGGTGCACTGCATAACTAGTTGTGTCACAACAAATCTACTTACAAGGTGCACTGCTTAACTAGTTGTGTCACAACAAATCTACTTACAAGGTGCACTGCTTAACTAGTTGTGTCACAACAAATCTACTTACAAGGTGCACTGCTTAACTAGTTGTGTCACAACAAATCTACTTACAAGGTGCACTGCTTAACTAGTTGTGTCACAACAAATCTACTTACAAGGTGCACTGCTTAACTAGTTGTGTCACAACAAATCTACTTACAAGGTGCACTGCTTAACTAGTTGTGTCACAACAAATCTACTTGCAAGGTGCACTGCTTAACTACATTCAGCTGATCAAAGTATGTATACTTGTAAATTACATTGCAATGTTAGAATTGCCATGCACTTTACACAATATTTATTTATGTACTTTTTAACCAATTGACAACTCAAATTTATGCAAAGTAAGATCACAGCCAACTATCCACTGTGTATGCAATAAAATACATCTTAGAGGGAAACAACATTTGATAAAGAGATTTTTTTAAATATAACATTTTAAAAAGTGATGTGTATGTCTTTTGAGGGTTTCATTCATCACCTATTTTCAGTGACAGGAACAAACATCATCACTGCACAACACTGATTTTAACTCAGGAATTGTCGAGTCAGCCCTCTGAAAGATAATCTGTAGCCCAGAGCTGTTATTTGATCCACTCTCATAACATCACTGATATCAAGACAATTGCAACCTGATACAGTTTCTCCAATTCAGTTATATTTTGGATAGAAATTGAGAACGCTAACATTGTTATTATGAAATATAATCTGTTTGCTAAACCGAAAGAAAGAAACATTTTACTTGATGTTCAACTATATGTAGAAAATAAGGCTTTTAATTAATTGTTTCTATCATAACATTTAACAAATAGTTACCTCAGTCACAGTCCCTCTAACCCTGTCTGGAAACGACTAGCGTTCTTTTGTCTCGAACCGCAGTGCGGGTAAACAAACCGCTCACACCCAGGCCGAGGGAGTCAGGAAGTCAGACAGATTGCAATACCGTCAAAATATTCATTAAAATCGAAAAATTTACCGTCATGCAAAGCGATACCTCAT